CTACAGTTGATTACTACTTGACACCAGATCTATGGAAAAGAAAGCTAATCGCTGCTGGCTGTTAGCTAAAGGAACAGAATACTAAGAAACATGCCTATTTCGGATCATCACTGCTGTTTATTATGCCAACTGATTTTTCAGATTAGTGTCATTTATGCTATTGAAGTATCTAGGAGCCAGCCTTTCCCATAATCTATAACAGCTGAGCATGTGTTATTCACAATTGTGCAGTGTTAAAATATATTAACAGGGAATCTTGGAAATCATAAACATCTTTACTGGCTTCAAGAAGCTAGTAAATAAGAACAAGTAATTCCTTTAAACTCTCCTAATGTAAGGGCAAATGGCCTCTTTTCTAACTTGGATCTGCAAATGGTTTATGGTTGTAACTAGCAGAGCAGTAGTAATCCACAGTGTGACGAGCAGGAAGCACAGAGAGGGAGCCTTCAGTTCTTCTCATAGAGAAGCTAAGAGGAGCTACGAGCCAGAGCACTTGTGCCCTTGTGTTCAGTATGCTAAAACTCAAAATACCACTGGATAAAGCATAAGAAAAGAAAGAGGCTGTATTTTTCAATGCAGAAATTTACAAGCACTCTTCTCAGCATTAAGTTCAAAGATTCTGAAGGTCTAAAATGACTGCAAAAACCATGAGACAGACTAAAAATGCAGGAGAAAAAAACAAGAGTGCTTAACAGAGCATGGTTAGCAGCTTTAGATATCAGTGCCTGAAATAAATTAGAAAAAGAAGATTTTAGCCTTTGGACAAGTCTCTGAAAGCTACAGAAAAGTCTTGGGTTATCTCTGTCTACTAAAAGGTCTGTGACAAAAAAAAAAAAAAGAATCCCATATGCACTACCACCACAGATAAGTTTATGGCTTAGACTACAACAAAAGTGTCAAGTGCACCTCTCAAAACCTATTGTGGTAGACTTGAACAGCAGTAAACACTGAGGCCAATCTGCCAGTGCAGTCCAGAGGCTGAGAGGACAAGTGACTCCACCATAAGGAGCTAATCACATGGTGGGGAAGTCTGAGATGTCATACTGAAGCAAGGGGTACTTCAAAAGCCAGCTAATGACAGCAAGAAGACGTAGGGTGAGCCAGTTCCTTGACTGGCTATCTGTGGGGAAATAACAAGATGCTGAGCAACCAAGGCAAGAATAAACAAAAGCAGCTAATTATCAAGGTGACCACAGGGGACTACCATCGCACATCACCATGTTCTGAATGTCTCTGTTGCCCTTCCAAAAGTGCATTTGTTAAGATCTCAATTCTCCAAGGCATGGTTTTAAGAGGCAGGGCTTTTGGGGGAGGTAAGAAGGTTAAGAGAGCTGAACCCCGATGAATGGGATTAGTGCCCACTGTAAAAGAGGCCCAAGGGAGCTTATCAGCCCTTCTCCCATGTGAAGAAGGAGGCAGAAGGCACTATCTATGTGGAAAGAAAGAGGCTCTTACCAGACACCAAATCTGCTGATGTCTTAGTGCTGGACTTTACAACCCCCAGGTCGTAAGAAATAAATCTGTTTTTTATAAACTACTACCCAGTTTTACAGTATGCTGTTTCAACTTCCTGAACAGACCAGACACATACTGAGGTCTCCACAATCGGAGACCCTGCTCAGATGAGACCAACACTGCTTTAGCTAACTCCAGTTCATCCTAGAACCCTGAGAACCAGAAGACAGCTCCTGCAATTGGTAAACCACTGCGGTAGAGCAACCATCATGAAGGCAGGAGTAGTCAGAACACTTGAATACTCCCAGCAGCCATCCTCTGCAGAAGGTGAAACTGCTGACCCTTTCTAAATGACATCCTCGGCTGAAAACCAGACAATCTCCTCTACTCCTGATTTGGAAGGATTACAGTGAAAAATACAACAGCCGAATACAGGTGAAAATGCTCTGAACAAAACCACACTGGATGTGCACAGCATTTTACCATTTGAAACAAAGTTTAACTTAGAAAGGTTATAAAAATACATGCTGTCTCTTGTCTATGAGCTTTAGAGACCAAAATGTTTATTTCAGAGTCTAAACTATGTTACAGTGAAAGCAGGCAGCACCAGGAAAAGACAGAAAAACAAATTCAGGGCATCCACTACATTTATGTCACTGGGGTTTAAGGGGATCCATATGTACCTGGTGAAGATGTGAAAAAGGATTCTGTTACCAGTAAATAGTTAAATTAGAGTCCATGGGCTTTGCTTTAAAGCTTTTCTTTAAAGAATTGCATGATGTCTTCAGGGAATATTATACAGAAAAATGTGTTGCTGTATTTATAGGTAAATACTGATAAGACTAAACGGAAATAGAGTCACAGGCAGCTTCTCAAACTGGGGTCTAAGAACCCTTGGAGGCATGTGAGGCTGGAACACGTAGGTTAACAAGGGTCATTAGGGTATTGCACAGCCTAAATGTGACAGACAATGCACAAAGAAACTCACTCAAAGGAGCCCACAAATGTTGGAATAGTGGCCATCTGCTGGTGCCTGCCCTGCATCCATTGGCCCCCACTGGGGAATGACAACTCCCACAGTGGGTACAGTCAAGACAATACCCAGGGCACTTGCCAGTATCCTGTCTGGGCCTGTGAGAGACTCTCTCTGTTGGAGAGTTCAGTTCTCTAGCTCTCCAAGAAGACTGCCCGTCAAGTCCTGCTACCTGAACCTGATACTGCTTTATATCTGGTCCATATTGCCATTTCTACACATCTTTCCAGTAACTTCTTATCTCTGTTCCAAGTAATATGATTTAATTTCTACTGCAAACAACCAAAGCTTCTACTTGATTAGCTATTACTCTGAGTCTAAAAGAACCGGTTTCTTAAAAATTTGGGTGATAAAATTTAATTGGCAAAGGCCGGCTCCACAGCTCATTAGGCTAATCCTCCGCCTGCAGTGCCAGCACTCCAGGTTCTAGTCCCGGTCGGGGCACCAGACTCTGTCCCGGTTGCTCCTCTTCCAGTCCAGCTCTCTGCTGTGGCCAGGGAGTGCAGTGGAGGATGGCCCAAGTCCTTGGGCCCTGCACCTGCAAGGGAGACCAGGAGAAGCACCTGGTTCCTGGCTTTGGATCAGCGCGGTGCGCCGGCCGCAGCATGCCGGCCGCTGCAGCCATTGGGGGGTGAACCAACGGAAAAAGGAAGACCTTTCTCTCTCTCTCACTGTCCACTCTGCCTGTCCAAAAAAAAAAAAAAAGGGAAAAAATTTAATTGGCAAATAATTAAATTTATGGTTAAACACAGGGATCCATCATGCAGTAGAACACAACATTCATGTAAAATTTTAAATTAACTTAATTTTTCTTTTGAGATTTTTAGAATTCTGCTTCCTCCCACTTCTCACCCTCGTTCTTTCCTCTAGGCAAGTTCTTTAGTGAAGGGTTTAAGAAGCACTGGTACAGGAATCAACTTTCCTTTCCTTAACTTTTACTTTAACTTTTAGCAAACTTTGTTTACTCTAAAAATGTAAACACTCCCGGGCAAGTTACTTAACATCCCTCAGGCTCATTTTTCACACCTTTAAAATGGGTAATGAAAGGACCTGCTTCATACACCTATTATCCTAACAGATAATACACTGTTCCTCACAGCACTTTTAACAGTCATGGCAAACAAAGGACATATGGTTATAGAAACAAAATCAAGGAGCAAGCTACTCCACAGTTAGAAAGACAGCTACAGCATTTTCCATCAAGAAGAGGTATCCACTTCCAATCCCTTGGATCTAATAGATCTGGTGACTTGCCTGGCCGGGTGGCATGTGCCAAAAGGACACCGTGTGGCCTAAACCTCAAAAAGCCTTGCAGCCCTCACCCTTTATGAACTTGATGCCCCTATGTGAGGAAAGTTGGTCTCTCTGCTGAAGCTCAGAGATGTCCCAGCTCCAGGCTTCTACACCATCTCCCTTCAACTTAAGCCTTCAGATGACTGCAGCCACACCTGTGACCTCAGGCCAGGCAATACTAGTGAAAGAAATGCCCAGCCCTAACTGTGAGCAAAGAAAAATGGTTCAAAGTCTTAAGTCACAAGGTTTAGGAGCGAGTTGATACTCAGCAAAACCTAACTGACAGAAACGCTTCAAGAGTTACCACAATATTCCTACATTTTACATTCATAAAAAAAAAAAAATCCACTAACAGGGGCTGGCGTTGTGGCGTAGCAGGCAAAGCCACAGCTTGCGATGCCAGCATCCCCTATGGGCGCTGGCTCGTGTCCCAGATGCTCCACTTTTGATACAGCTCCCTGCTAATGGCCTGGAAAAGCAGCAGAGGATGGCCCAAGTGCTGGGGCTCCTGCACCCATGTGGGAGAACTGGAAGAAGTTCTTGGCTCCTGGCTTCAGCCTGACCAGCACCAGCTGTTGAGGCCACCCAAGGAGTGATGGAAGGAAGGCCTCTCTTTTCGTCCCTCCCTCTTTGTAGCTCTTTCAAATAAATAACTAAATCTTAAAAAAAAAAAAAAAAAAAATTCAGTAACAAACTCTTTGTCTCAATGTCCACAATCAGAAAGCAACTTTGTCATAGTCAGATGTGGTTACACTTCTCTATCTTCACTGCTAGGTCAATGTTTCCAGTACCATATAAACACTGAACTATGTCTCACTCACAGAATGGGGGCGGGGTGGGGGGGGGAAGAACACTCTCTAAAGCCAAAATAACTTAAGTGAAACTAAAGTGAAAATTTGCTAAAATTATTATAGTTAAACCACAAGGATGCAGGTGCAAACAGTTGAGTTGAAACAGAAGGTAACTGGCTGAGAAGAAAAAAATGTAACAAAATTGCTGCAATTCATTCAGAAAGGAATAATCAAAACAGAGTCTCCCTTTTCCCAATTTACCACAGGCTGTCAAAAGGAAACGCTTGATTTGGGTCACCATCCATGCAAATATTTACAAAGCACCAACTCTATGCCAGTGAGCTGTTAGCTTCTGAACACTTCTTTTTAAGTAGTGTACAAAGATACCAAGGTGAAGGGTCATGAGTAGGTGAAACTAGTCCACATACCTGTCTTGGTCCAGGTACTTGGTCTGCTTAGAGCATTCAGGCTGATACATGTAGCTAAAACAAGGTTCTGCCTGGAATCACATCTATACCTGGAAGGTGAATGATATTAGCAGCTAATACTATTGTTATTATCATTACTGCTCCTATTATACCCTTATCCCTCCTACCACCTCTTCCCCTCACCCAGTTGTTGATAAAAATCTGCACTCTGGTAAATGTGTGTACCTGATTTAACTTTTCAGAACTTAGAAAAGTATTAATCCCATTTCCTCATCCCAGATGAGGAAACTGAGGCCCTAACTAGATAAAAATAAAAAAACAGGTATCAATTTCATCTTTCTAAAAAGAAGCCAACTGCTAAACGTTTGGAGTTCTAACATATTTTACATATCACATATCTCAATTAAAGGGCAAGCAATTTTTTAGATCACAACTTACTCCTATCTCAAATATTAACTCAGGCCTTTAATATTCCTAATACACTATCACTTAAAGGGGGAAAATATTCTAAAATACCCAATTATGGGGTCAGCGCTATGGCACAGCAGATGAAGTTACAGTTTGCAGTGCCGGCATCCCACTTCCTATCCAGCTCTCTGCTATGGCCTGGGAAAGCAACAGAAGATGACCCAAGTGTTTGGGCCCCTGCACCTACATGGGACACGCCAAAGAAGCTCTTGGCTTCTGGCTACAGATCAGCCCAGCTCCAGCCATTGTGGCCATTTAGGGTGTGAACCAGCGGATGAAAGATTTCTCTCTTTGCCTCTCCCTCTCAAATAAATAAATAAATCTTTTAGGGCTGGCACTGAGGTGCAGGTTAATCCTCGGCCTATGGTGCTGGCATCCCACATGGGCGCCGGTTCTAGTCCTGGCTGCTTCTCTTCCAATCCAGCTCTCTGCTGTGGCCTAGGAAAGCAGTGGAAGATGGCCCAAGTGCTTGGGCCCCTGCACCCGCATGGGAGACCAAGAAGAAGCACTTGCCTCCAGGCTTCAGATGGGCATAGCTCCAGCCATTGCGGCCATTTGGGGAGTGAACCAATGGAAGGAAGACATTTCTCTCTGTCTCTCCCTCTCAGTGTTTGTAACTCTACCTCTCAAACAAATAAATGAAATCTTTTAAAAATAAATAAATCTTTAAAAAAATGCTCAATAACTTCTAGTGGTTTTATTTCCAGCATTATGTGGCTTTGAAAAGTCAAACTCCTAAAAGAGGACAAACTCATTGTAAAACAGGCTAATCAGAAGCTAATGCTGAAAGGTAGAAAAGGAGGCAAAAGCAAACCAATTAGTTAAAGCAGTTATCGGGTCACCAGATCTGTCTCCTACACAATGACCAAAGGAGAAGGGTCAGAGAGAGAAAAGATGAAAGTGAAAGAAGTGGCCCTCAGAGCTTCAGAAACAGCACCTGCAACTACACACAGCATACACACGTACAACCTCTGTACACACCAATCCTGGTGCTGATCTCCAACATAAGAGGCAGCTTTGTATGCTTTATTTACTCAAACATGGGTAGGCCAGGATGCACACTGTCTTAAGTAAGAGGGTTAAGTGAGCAGCCTGAGGGGCCAGTATCAATTACTTCCCTTGCAGGGCATAGGAGGATAAGGGGAACACCGAGCCTAAAACTGCTACAAAACCATCACACACGACAAGGTTCAATCAACAAGCTCGACAAAGAACATATCTAAAAAATTAACTGGTGACACAGTATAACACTTGTGCTAAGAAGGGAAGGTTGCACTATGACTAATAATACCTTACTGACTGCATTTGCATTGCACAGAGAGATGGAGGACCACATTAGAGCAAGTCACCACGTGGAAAGCAACTGTGCACCTTTGTTTAGTGATGCCCCAGATCTACAGGCCTAATACTCGCCTAATTTTCTTTAGGTAAGGAATCAAAAAATTATGGTTCCCAAGCCAAATCTAGTTGCTACCTGTACTGAGCTAAGAATGATTCTACATTTTTAAACACTTAAAATTGTTTTGAAAATAAAATATATTGTGCAATTTAAAATTATTCAATATTGATGCCCATAAACAAAGTGCAAACGGAACACAGTTCCACCCATTCATATCTGTAGTTGCTTTCTCATTTTAATGGCAAAGTTGAAAAGGAGCAGAGATGTAGATAGCTGGTAAAGTTTAAAAAGAAAAAAAAAGGAGTTAGTTACTATCCGGACCTTGAAAGAAAGCTTGCTGATTTCTGGTCTAGGCCACAGAATCATACAGTTTTTTAATGGATCACAGCTCCAAATCTGTGCACGCTTGTTGGTTTTGGGCCTTGACATTTCCAAAATTTTGTGGTAACTGGCCGGCCTGACAAAGAATACAACTCCACTGTTAATAATCAGGCCGACATTACAGTGCCAGCATCCCATGTGTGCTCCAGTACAAGGCCGGCTGCTCCACTTCTGATCCAACTCCCTGCTGATTTGCCTGGGAAGGCAGCCAAAGATGGCCCAAGTGCTTGGGCCCCTCTACCCACATGGAAAACCTGGATAGGGTTCCAAGCTCCTGACTTCAGCCTGGCCCAGCCTTGGCCAATGCAATTATTTGGGGAATGGACCAACGGATAGAAGATCTGTCTTTGCCTCTCTCTCTGTAACTCTTTCAAATAAACAAACAAATCTTTAAAAAATAGCAATAATTGTCAACAGGTCTACTAGGTGCCTGTGGTAACTAGAAGATGTTAAAGTTTTTTCTGAGTTGAAAGTAGGATGGTGGGGGCCAGTGCTGTGGTGCAGCAGGTTAACGCCCTGGCCTGAAGTGCTGGCATCCCATATGGGCGCCGGTTCTAGTCCCGGCTGCTCCTCTTCCTATCCAGCTCTCTGCTATAGCCTGGGAAGGCAGCAGGAGATGGCCCAAGTCCTTGGGCTCCTGCACCCATGTGGGAGACCCGGAAGAAACTCCTGGCTCCTGGCTTCAGATCAGCACAGCTCCGGCCATTGCGGCCATCTGGGAGTGAACCATCAGATAGAAGACCTCTGTCTCTGACTTTACCTCTCTCTCTAACTCTTACAAATATATACAATAAATCTTAAAAAAGAAAGAAAGCAAGTAGGATGGTACCAGGTCTGTAAGGGGCTGAGGATAAATCTCTGAAAAGTATGAGTGATATCTTCTTCTAAAGATGAGACTGAGGAGTGAGCACCTGACGCAGTGGTTAAGATGCTGCTCAGAACACTCTTATTCCATATCAGAGTCTCTCCAGTTGCAGTACTGGCTCTGCTTCCAATTCCAGCTTCCTGCTTAATGAGCCTGGGAAGCAGCATATCACGGACCAAGTACTTGGGTTTTTGCCACTGGCTTGAGAAACCCAACTATAGTTTCTGGCTCCAGGTTTCAGCCTGATCTAGCCCAACTACTGTTGATATATGAGCTCCCTCTCTCACCCAATCCTTCAAATAAATTAATTAATTACAAAAAAAAAAAAAAAAAAAGACTACCACCTTCTGAACACTTACTACAAACCTAAGCCTGAGACTTGGTAGTTTCCTGCATTTACTATTCCATTTAATGGTTATCTGACCCACATTCAGAAAGGCTGACTGGCCCAAAGTGAACACAACCAGTGAGCTCAGGATATGGATGGCCAAACCCAGGTTCAAGTTTAAAAACTTTGTCATAACTATTACCAAATCCAAAGCAAAAGGTGTAAATGCTCACTACAAATAAGTGGAAAGGGAAAAAAAAAACAAACAGAAGAACAAGCTTATTTATTTATTTATTTATTTTTTTGACAGGAGAGTGGACAGTGAGAGAGAGAGACAGAGAAAGGTCTTCCTTTGCCGTTGGTTCACCCTCCAATGGCCGCCGTGGCCGGCGCACCGCGCTGATCCGATGGCAGGAGCCAGGTACTTATCCTGGTCTCCCATCGGGTGCAGGGCCCAAGCACCTGGGCCATCCTCCACCGCACTCCCTGGCCACAGGAGAGAGCTGGCCTGGAAGAGGGGCAACCGGGACAGAATCCGGCGCCCCGACCGGGACTAGAACCCGGTGTGCCGGCGCCGCAAGGCGGAGGATTAGCCTAGTGAGCCGCAGCGCCGGCCTACAAGCTTATTCTTACGGCCATGATTATTTTAAGTATTTTGTTCATGCATTTTACACTTTGGACTCATAATGCTGTTTCTTCATCACTTTCAGATTTATTTTTTTAAAGAGGTAGAGTCATAGAGGGCAAAGGAAGAGACAGAGAGAGATCCTCTATCTGCTGGTTCCAAAGTTACAGGTACAACTTCCATTCAGGAACTTCTGGGGAACTTAATGAGGGTCCCAAAAAGAGGGAGTAATGAAGCATACTCTGGGAGGATGCCCTGGAAACTGCATGTACCTTTTTTTTTTTTTTTTTTTTTTTTTTGATAGGCAGAGTGGAGAGAGAGAGAGAGAGAGACAAAGGTCTTCCTTTGCCGTTGGTTCACCCCTCAGTGGCGGCTGTGGCCGGCACACCGCGCTGATCCGAAGCCAGGAGCTTCTCCTGGCTCCCATGCCGGGGCAGGGCCCAAGGACTTGGGCCATCCTCCACTGCACTCCCGGGCCACAGCAGAGAGCTGGACTGGAAGAGGAGCAACCGGGACAGAATCCGGCGCCCCGACCGGGACTAGAACCCGGTGTGCTGGTGCCACAGGCAGAGGATTAGCCTAGTGAGCCACGGCGCTGGCCGTGCATGCACTTTTAAATTTGAATTTTTTATTTAAAGTATCTGTGAAGAGCAAATGTCAAAAGGAATCTTCCCAATAGAGAGCTATGATGCTGGCCAGTGGCTATTGTTTCTTCCTGCCCAACATTCATGTCTTCTGCTTTGCCAAATGCACTATTTTTTCAATTTCCTCTAAATATTTACAAGAACCACTGAATCCTAAGTCACTTCTTAAAAAAGATTATTTATTTATTTGAGAGACAGAGTTCCCCAAATGAGCACAACAACTAGATCTACACTGAGCCAGGCTGAAGCCGGGAGCTGGGAACTTAATACAGGTCTTTCACGTAGGTGGCAGACACCCAAAGCACTTCAGTCATCACTGATGCCTCCAAGGGTCTGCAAAAACAGCAAGCTGGAGTCAAGAGCTGGAACTGGACACTAAGCCCAGGTACTCCAATGTGGGACACAGGCATCTTAACCAGCCCACCTCTAAGCTATTTTTGAAAATCTTTTACAAATTGCATTAAGAAGGCCAACACTACAGGTAGAGCTGTGGCCTGAAGCACCAGGATCACATATGGGCAGCAGTTTGAGAGCTGGCTGCTCCAATTCCGATCCAGCTCCCTGATAATGTGCCTGGGAAGGCAGCGGAAGATGGCCTAAGTAGTTGGGCCCCTGCACCCACATAGGAGACATGGAGGAAGCGCCTGGCTTCAGATTTGGCCCTGCTCCAGCCGTTGTAGCCAGTGGATGGAGGATCTCTTTGTCTTTGCCTCTCTCTCTAACTCTGCCTTTCAAATAAATAAATAAATAATTTGTTAAAAATTACATTGTGTCACCATCTTCACCATATCTATTTTGAAATAATGTACATCATTATGACATAGCATGAATATACATGTTTGCTGAGACATTAATTAATGACTGTCTTAACCTGGCTTATTCAATCTTTTCCATGGGCCAACAGAGGGGGTCAGAGTTTTATACAGGAAATTTTGACCCAGTAGCTTAACACCTTAACTAGGTAGGAATTATCAAGATGAGTAACTACAGCGTCAGGCAGGTTAAGTAGCTAACGTGATATGAGAACCCAGATTTGAATTTAAGTGTTTGAACTCAGAAATTGTGTTTTCTACATACCAAGTTCTTCCATCCTGCCAAAGCACAAATACATTTTCTTAGAATCATTGTCTCTCAGTCAAATTTGCCAGAGTGGAGCAAAATGAATTATTTATTCCAAGGGCTGGTATCCAGCTCAACTCTGTTCATTTACCATCATTCATTCTACGTGGTCTGAACTTTTAGATGTAATTAAAAACAAAAACAAAAACAGGGGCCAGCATTGTGGCACTGCTGGTTAAACCTTAAGCTGTCTCTTGCGCCACTGGCATCTCATGTGAGTGCCAGCTGGAATCCCAGTGCTCCCCTTTTGATTCAGTTAGCTGCTAACACACCTGGGAAAGCAGTGGAAGATGGCATGACTACCTGGACCCCTGCCACCTGTGCGCAAGAGCAAGACGGAGTTCCAGGCTCCTAGCTTTGGCCTGGCTCAGCTGCGGCTGTTGTAGCCATCTGGGGAGTCAAACAGCAGATGAAATCAATCAATCAATCTCTCTCCATCCCTGTTTCTCTCTGTCCGTCTGCCTTTCAAATAAATAAATCTAAAAACAGACAAAAAAAAAAAAAAACCAGCCACAGTGCACTCAGGACTAAGCAGGGCAGCAGGTGTGCCCTTTATGTATGTGTATGGCTTATCAACTGACATGCAACGTTTTGCTGAGGGAACAAAACGCACGCGCTTTTGCACTCCAAAATTGCATGAGTAGGCTGAAGGCAACTTTGAAAAGCAAGTTCTGAGCACACAACCAATCTTTTCCTATTTTAAATAACTTTTTATATTTAGGACTATTTATTCTAACTTCCATTGTATTGCATAAAAGGATGTGTCTCTAATTTCCTTTACCTCTTTTGTAACACAACCATAGAACCTCTTCTGAGAAGATACATGTATGCACAAAAAGTTTTGATCACAAATACAGGGGCTTCAGGAATCCTGTGCAATCCATTTATAGACTCTTGGAGATCTACAGACCTCTGCATAACCCTTGTTCTAAAAGCACATTACAGAAATGCCCACTTCATTTCCCAGGATCAGGATAAAGACCATTCTTTTTATTTTCAGAAGGCAAGTATTAAATAAACAAGTTAATATTATTAGCTAGACTTTCATATTCTCAAAGAAACCAAGAATCTAATGACTTGAGCAAATCACTAAATCTAAGGACACACAAGTTCAAAGGCCCCATCAGTTTTGTTACAGCTTAAAACGTGCTGCTTCCAAAACTGTTTCTGCCCTCAAAGAACTTCTTGGAAAATAAACAAACAGTATGGCACAGTCCTTCCTTCTTTACCATTCATAAACTAGCTAAGTATATGAAAACAGAAACAGTGCCAAAATGTATTAAAAGATACTCTTTCACAATACAGCATATGAAGAGAATTAAAACTCTTAAATGTTCAACACACTGTGTTAATGCAATTGGGAGTTAAATTATGTGGCTGACAAACCAGATTTTAGAGAGTTCATAAAGGCTCATAACATGTGTCTCCCACCACTTCAGTCAAGAACTTTCAGGAATGTTTATTTTCAGGTATACCTCAAACTTTAAAGTCCTTCCCATTTCCCTTGGTCATATTACTTTAGACAATCTCTAGCCTTGTCCAACAAAAAATTATGTTACCAAACCAATTTAGAGAGAGTGTTTGGCTGGGACTCCATGTATGAGTAACTTACAGAACGTCTCACAAAAATGTATTTGTTATAGTAGACAGTGATCTTTCTTACAAAAACATTAAAGATTACTTTAAATCACCAGATCCCGTTAAAAATCAGTATTCTAATGATAAGCTCAAGTAACAAGTAATTTACAAAGAATACCATTTCACTACTGGACAAATGCCTTCTTAAAAACTTTTTTTGGGTCGGCGTTGTGCCCAGTGGGTAAAGCCACTGTTTACAACACCGGCATCCATCCTGCTTTGTATCCCACCTGCCCTGGTTCCAATCCAGCTCCTTACTAAATGTCCTGGGAAAGCAGCATGAGATGGCCCAAGTGCTTCGGCGCCTACTACCCATGTGCAAGATCCTGAAGAAGCTCCTGGTTTCTGGCTTTACACTGGACCAGCCCAGCTCCGGTGTTGGTGCCATCTGAGGAGTGATCAGCGGATGGAGGATCTCTCTTCCTTTCTCCCCCTCTCTGTAAACTCTACCTTTCAAATAAATAATCTTTGAAATAAATAAATTTTTTAAAAATCAAGTAAACTCTTTATTTAAAAAACTTATTTCATTTTATTTCAAAGGCAGAGACACAAAGACAAAAAGATCTTCCAAATGCTGGTTCACTACTCATAAGCCTGTAACAGGGTGGGGCCTAGTCAAAGCCAGGAGCCCAGAGCTCCGTATGGGTTTCCCACATGGGTGGCAGGGACAGCACTATTTGAGCCTCACCTGCTGCCTCCCACATTGTGCCTCAGCGAGAAGTCAGAATTGGAAGTGGGAGCAGGTCTCAAACCCAGTCAGAAACGGGATGCAGGCATCAAAAGTGGCTTTTTAACCACTGGCCTAAACACACCACTGCACAATGGTCTTTTTAAACAGGAACTGTTCCCACCAAAATGCCACTTGAACTAGACAATCAACTGACACTTTGAATTCACAACTTGTAGTCCTTAAGATTTAAAAGCAATTCTTCTAGTTAGTGTGTCCTGTGTCCTAAATCCAGGGAAACAGGCAGGGTTTGATGCCTTATAACCCAGCCTTTAGGCCAATATTCTTCCCAAACCAGGGAGGCTGCACACGCCGGGGGAGGGCAGGTCATACCAGAGACTCTTTACCCAAGGCAATTTTTGCCTTGGTGCCGAAAGTCAAATTCTTGAGCACTAATTCTGGATAGTACAGTAATGGTATTATTAACGTTAGTGGCCTCACAGAATAGGAATCTAATTTACATTTACCGATTTCTAGCTAAGGGGTAGCTAGCTTCGCTGTCAGATACTGAGACTGACAAATCTTCCTCTTTGAAAGCACTGGCGCGGGAAAGAGTGAGCTTAAGTTGAGTAAACGCAGTCAATCAGGGCAGTAACCAAATTCATCCTACACAACTGCTTCATCCCGGGTAGGAAGACCCAGGGTGCATGGGACAGGGGCCGGACAACTGGGAAACTAACCAGGTGCCTCCATAAACTATCCAAGGCTACATTCAAAATTCAGACGTGCTTCTGGGGCTAAGCGTGCGTTTCACTGGAGCTCCAACTGGCTGTACTGGTGCCTGAGTTTGCTTGCCCGCCTCTCATCCACCGCCACTTCAACGTTGCCTTTTACGAGAAGTTCGTCGAAGTTGAATCAGTGACTTTGGGAAAGAGAGGCCAATATAATCTGCAGGGTGCTCCGGAAATGTGTAATTCACACACAAGGCAACGTCTCTCCCAGAACACACCTCTCGCTCCCCCCCCCCCGCCCCTTCTCTTCAACTTCCCCTTAAGAAGGGGGACAGTCACATTAAGACAGTTTTCGAAAATGCAAGGAAAAAATAAATAAAAGCACCCAATCGCGTTCACCGACGGGATTCCGGCTCGGGGAGGGGTTGGGGGCGGGGGAGTCTGGGTGCCGGGCCAGGACGACGCTCCCGGTGGCTCCGCGAACTGCTCCCGGAGGTCCACAAGTTTCTGTTTCACCCTCTCCCCTGCACTCGCCAGAGCCCAGGAAGGAAGGGGGCGGCCGCCAGGGCCGGAACCGCGCGACCTGGAACTCGGGGCCTTCTTTGGTTGCTGGCGGCGCCCGGCGCAAGTGCCCGCGTTCGAGACCAGCCTCGGCGCGCGTGGGCGCCAACTTCGCAAGGACCACCGAGCCTCCCCCAACCCCCAACGCCGCGCCCCTTCCGTGGCCTCCTCTCACGTCTCCCAGGCTCAGGCGGCTCCAGGCGCCCCCACGCCCTCCTCACCCCCAAGGGAGCGAGACCTCCAGCCCGCACCCCCCACCCCCGCCCAGCAGGATGGGGCAGTGGGACGGCCGCGGTCACCTTCCCCGGGGAAACGCAGGGACTCTCAACGCCCTGCAGCCCCCGCCGCGCTCCCGCAGCCTCGGCGGCGCCCGGGCGAGCTCACCTGGCGGCTGGCGGCGGCCTCCGGGGCGGCCTCTGGGCGTGGGCCGGGCGGGGGCGGCAGGGGGGGCGGCGGGGGCCGGGGCTGCAGCCGGGGCCGCCGCCGGCCGCCTGGCCTCGACCCCACACGCGCCGGCCGCAGCCTCCCGCGGGGAGTGCGGGGGGCGCGGGTCCCGCGGCGGCGGCGGCAGCGGCGGCGGCGGCGGCGCGGCGCGGCTCAGGCGTCGGAGCAGGCGGCCGCGGGCGCCGCCGCCTCCTCCTCCATGGCTGTTTACCCGGCTGCATTGTGGGAGTTTGACCTCCGCCGCCGCCGCCAACCGCCGCCTCAGCTTGCGCCGCCGCCGCCGCCGCCGCGCACGCCATGGGAGCCGTGACAGACGGTGAGGCTCCCTCGCAGTCGCCCCGGTCCGCTCCCCAGCCCTCCTCGGCCTCCCTGAGACCCCCCCGGCGGGGAACGGCGCTTTCGGGAGCCCCTCGGCCTCCCTGGCCGCTACCGCCGAGCCCTTCGGCCTTGCCGATCTATCCCAGGAGCCCCAGGCCTTGCCGGCCGCTTCACCTAGCCCTTCGCCCTAGTGGCAGAGGCCCCTGGGCGCCTTGGTCCGCGCGCCGAGGGTGCGCGGGGCCCGTGGAGGGTGTGCCGGGAGGGTCGCCGGGGGCTGCGAACGCACGTGGCGGCCGGGCGGGAGACGGGGTCTCGGCTGTCCCGGGTCATGATGGAGTCCCGGGTTGGCGGAGCCCAGGGGGTGGGGATGGCGCGGGGCTGGGTGTCTGGAATGAAGTGGGAGCCCTAGAAGTTTCGGGATATGAAGTGGCTACAGAGGGAGACGACCTCTGAAAGGGGTCCTTTGGGCAGATGGCGAAGGGCGCGTGGAACCTGTGGGTGGAATGCCATGAGGGCTTCAAGGAGGAGTGGATTTGAGGTTGGGACAGGTTGCTGGAGACGTGATCTGGAAGGAGTAGATGTGGATGAGGCCCTTGCAGGGCAATCAAAGTGTTACTTGGGTGCTAGGGTTACTAGGTAAGGAGCCTGAACAGGGATCAGGTCGGTAAAGGGGACGTGTGGGTGTGGATCAAGGAGGGCGGGTTGTGGACCCGTTGTACCGGCAAGCAGAAATAAGGAGACTGGATTTGGGGAAGGGTGAACAGCCATGATGGGCGACTGGACGGGGAACCTAAAAGGTATTTGGTTAGGAAAGAAAGAGGCCCATGGATATCTGCGGTATTGGGGTTTATTTGTGGAGAAGGTGACCAGGAACTATAGTTGCCTATGGACGGTCCAGCTCTGAAGAGTTGAGGACCCGTAGGGTCCCTACAGTAAGGATCAGACAATGGAAACAACAGCTCTGGTCCCAGACTTGTGGGCTGACAGGCGTAGTGTAGGTGGGAGGCTTTGAAAGGCCCAGGGACTCCATGGAAATTTTTACTTCCTTTCCTTCCGGTTTCTTTTATTCGGTAGTGAATGTATTCTACCCCTTGCGAGGCCTTGTTCAAAACAGAAGCCAAGAACCAATAGGCAAGGCCTTTTCCCCACACTGAGGTTAGATTCTGATAGAAAAAACGCATTGGAGAATTCGTTTTAAAACGAGCAAGTGTTCACACAGGGAAAGTACATGGTTGAGAGCTGTAGGGGCATGTAACAGATTCTTTTTTTTTTTTTTTTAAGATTTATTTATTATTTATTTGAAAGCCAAAGTTACACAGAGAGAGGGTAGGCAGAGAGAGGTCTTCCATCCACTGGTTCACTCCTCAATTGGCCGCAACGGCTGCAGCTGCACCGATCCAAAGCCAGGAGCCAGGAGCTTCTTCCAGGTCTCCCACGCGGGTACAGGGGCCCAAGGACTTGGACCATCTTCTACTGCTTTCCCAGGCCACAGCAGAGAGCTGGATCAGAAGTAGAGCAGCTGGGACTCAAACCAGGGCCCATATGGGATGCTGGCGCTTCAGGCCAGGGCATTAACCTGCTGCACCACAGCACCGGGCCCTGTAACGATCAAAACACCTCCCTGTAAGAATTTTTCTTCATCCTAGTTGTGGAGACTAAAACAGCTGTAACTAGACTAGAGTTCTGTGTGAGAATCCACTTGTGTAGAGGCATCTAAGTGTTGAAGTAAATCAAGAATTATAGTATTGTGTAAAATTTAGAAAGTTGGGAGCCAGACACTTTGCAGGGCAATAGAATAACATGAAAAGGCTGTACCATTGGTGTGGTGGGATCAGCTTTGCACTACACACGTGAACGAGAAGGGGCAAGGAAAGTGAGGAGCTACATGAGTGTCTTTTCCCCTTACTGATTTTTACATAGTATTTAAATCGTGCTTTGAGCAGTGTCCTTCTTATCCCTGCTTTGCAGATGAAAATGAGACACGGAGAAGTTACCTTGGCCAAAGGCACAGAGGTAGTAAGTTACAGAGCCCAGGCAAACTGGCTTCAGAGTTCTTGCTTTTGCCTGTTACACATGTTGTCTTTGCACTACCAGGGTGGTGGTCCTGGTGAGAGGTCATGGAATGCCCACCCGGAGAGGACGCGTGAGGTAGAACGGTAGGGCTTCGTTGAATGAGCACATGTGAGGGGAGGCATCGAGGCTGATCCGGGGTATCTGACTTGAGTATGCCTACTAGTACAAGTTGGGTTGTTTATTCAGGTAGAAAACTGTAAAGAAATGGTCGGTTTTGTCAGATGGGACTTGGGGAGATGGCTGCCTGCAGTCAAGTGCCCCCCACGTTTGGGGAGGCCAAGGGAATCCCCACTCCACAGCACTTCCAAGCTATCTGACCATGTATGTATGGGTTAACTAGCCTCTTTGAGCCTCACTTTCATTCTCTGTAAATGGGAGTGATAGAGAATTCCCCTCAGGGGGTTGTTTTGAGCATTAAAGTTGGAAAGGGCTTTGCACTGAGTCTGATATATCACTGTGTTCAGTAACCAGTGTTAAATGTAAGTTGTGCTGCTAGTCTGTCTTGTATTTTGCTTGGACAGGGACTGTGCCTTCCTCTTTGTAGTCTGCACTGATTGCATTCTCCATCAAGAGCCACCTTAAGTAGCCTCCCTTTTTTTCCCTAGAATTAGTTGATCCTTTACCTGTAATGTGTATTATTTTACACATGCTGCTGCAATGCCAGAAAACTTTTCAATCTGCTCACCATAATGAGAAAATATAAATACTAAATGGATGAGGAAACAGGGCATAAAAAAGCCTAAGTCTAGGAAAAACTAGAGGAAATTCAAAATGGGGTGATCCTCCAAATGTAAGAGGTGAAAGCTGGTACTGAAATTAAAGCTACAAGTGACTATTGCCCTAGCAGCCATGCTCTGCTCCTTCATTATGAGAGGAGGCAACATTTGACATGCCATTTTGTCTGTTGTTTTTTTTGTTTTGTTTTGTTTTTAAGATTTATTTATTGCCCAGCGCCGCGGCTCACTTGGCTAATCCTCTGCCTGGGGTGCTGGCACCCTGGGTTCTAGTCCCGGTTGGGGTGCTGGATTCTGTCCGGGTTGCTCCTCTTCCAGTCCAGCTCTCTGCTGTGGCCCCGGAAGGCAGTGGAGGATGGCCCAGGTCCTTGCTCCCTGCACCTGCATGGGAGACCAGGAGGAAGCACCTGGCTCCTGGCATCGGATCGGTGCAGCATGCCAGCCATTTGGGGAGTGAACCAATGGAAGGAAGACCTTTCTCTCTCTTTCTCTCACTGTTTAACTCTGACTTTCAAAAAAAGAGTTACACAGAGAGAGGAGAGGCAGAGAGAGAGGGAGGAGAGGTCTTCCATCTGATGGTTTGTTGGCCGCAGCAGCCAGAGCTGCACCAATCCGAAGCCAGGAGCTTCTTCCAGGTCTCCCACATGGTTGCAGGGGCTCAAGGACTTGGGCCATCTTCCACTGCTTTTCCAGGCCATAGCAGGGAGCTGGATTGGAAGAGGAGCAGTTGGGTCTTGAACCAGAGCCCATATGAACCAGCGCTTCAGGCCAGAGTGTTAACCTGCTGCACCACAGCGTGGTGTCTGTTTTAAATCCTAAAGGAAAAGTACGTCTTTGGGATCCTTCTAAAGAAAAGCCAGCCTCATACCTTTTACTTCTCATCAGCATTGGGGATCATAGAACTGTTTCTTAGCATACCCTTTGATAAGTCAAAGAAAGCTATCGCAACAATGTAGCAAAGCATTTTAAATTGAAGACAGTGTGGTTTAGAGACCTGCATTGTGGGGTGGCAGATTAAGCCACTGCTTGGGATGCTGGTATCATATCAGATGCTGGCTCAGTAATGGGGTTTCTGCCACCCACATGGGGTACCTGGATGGAGTTTGAGGCTCCTGGCTTCTGCCTGACCCAGGCCTGGCTACTGGCAGCCATCTGGGGAGTGAACCAGTGGATGGAGCATCCTATATGTGTGCTTGCTTGTTCTCTCTCACTCTCTGCTTCTCTTTCTCTCTCAGGCTTCAAAATAAAAAAAAAAAAAAATTAAAGTATGCTTTAGGTGGATTACTGGGTAGCTCACCAATCTGGCTTTATTCAAAGCACATTTGCTTACTTGTGTATTGCTTACTTGTTCTTAGAATATGTAGACCATAGAATAAAAGATGAACTACTACAATTTTTTCAGACAGTTCTCTGTAAACATCACTTCTGTTAACTGAGCTTTTGCGAGGAGTAAGGGGAAGTGAGCTGAAATGAGTGATATGTGGTCAGTCAACAAATATCTATTACATACCCTTTTTTAATTTTTTTAAGAGTTATTTACTGGGGCCAGCGCTGTGGCACAGTGAGTTTAAGCCCCAACCTGCAGTATCAGAATCCCACATAGGTGCTGGTTCGAACCCTGGCTGCTCTACTTCCAATTCAGCTCTCTGCTATGGCCTGGGAAAGCAGTAAAAGATGGCCCAAGT